ATAAGGAAAGTGAATGTGCATATGATAATTTGTTTTAATTGGCCTGCATTAAGCTGTCAAAGTAACAAGCACGCAAGAACATCCAAGTCCTTGAACGCTTTGGATAGGTCTTTATTGAGATAGGCAAATTTCCAACGGTTTTGAATGCGCCACCACCGCAGCCTTTTTTCAGAAAGTCTGCGCTAACGCAGCAAGAGGAAGCAAAACAACGCCGTCCTCAAGAACACGGTGATCCCAGAAAGCGCACCCGGCTGCAGTGGGGAGCTTACGCAACACTCTCACAGCTGCCGCCGCGACGTACGGGGGCCTGCAACGCTTCCAAAATAAAAGTAGCAGGGCAGAGTTTGAAAAGCCCACTGTCCTGGAAAGGAGCATTATTTCCTTTAAGGTTCACGAAGTTGCGGAACTGGGACTGGAGAGAGTTTATACAGCACACCACGCCCATTTAATGTGACAATACACTCTAGGGGGGCAATAAAATACGGACAATTACGCATGAACCCGTTGCACTTTATCTTAACGAGATCCAAATACAAGACCACTATAGTCGACTCTTTATATCTTTCAAACTTTTGTTGTTTCTTTTTACAACCTCAAACTTCCATGTTTTGCTGTTACAGACCAACAAACGGTCTGATTGGGAAATGAAAAGTAAAGAAATACAATGACTCACAATAAAACCCCATTTATTCTGATGCACTTAAAATGGAGCTGGGAATGTCTGTCGGCTGAAGATTCTTTGGTTTGTCTTCAGTGATTCTCAGTCAGAATGGATGGATAGAGAGCGTCACTTCTCGTCACAGGTTGTCTGTTGAAATTAGGTCTGAACTTTGACTGAGCCATTCTGAAGCAAAAAAAAAAAAAAAAGAAAGAAAGAAAGAAAGAAACCATCCCATTAACTCTGAATTGCTCTAAATTTAGAGCTGGTGTCCTTTCGGATCAATTTTGCTCAAGTCTCCAGTCTTTTACAGCCTCCTACAGCTTCGTCCAATTCACCTCCCTGTCCCACTTAATAATGTTGCCACCACCATGTTTCAGCATCGGGACGGTTTTCCACAGCATTTTGTTTGGAAGATTATAATATTAACGATCGACCCACAACTTGGTCATCTTTTTCAAATCATTAGGCCTATTGATTTTTTCTTTTTTTAAAGAGTAATACCAATACAACAACAGTTATTTAATCAAGAAAAATGTATATAATTATATACTATGCCTACTGAAGTTTAAATAGATTTGGAATGGAGATGTTACTTCTGATTCTGTGCCTGGCCTACGACTGGGGTCTGAGCTGGGGGCTTGATCAAATATAGGTACGGCCTGTGAAATCCCTTCGGGGGGTCGTTCTCAGTGACATATGGTCTGTGTGTTAGGTTTTTCTGTTTTCTCTCTGCTGAATTCAGAAAATGCCGTATATCTGACTTTCTTTTAAGAGTAATACAGCCCCAACAACAGTTATTTAACCAAGTAAAATGTATATAATTATATACTAAGCCTAGTGAAGTTGAAATAGATGAGAGATGTTGCTTCTGATTCTGTGCCTGTGTTCAGCCAGGCCTACAACTGGGGGTCTGAGCTGCGACACGCAGGGCCTGCGAGAGAAGGAATGTACTAGTTGCATACTTGCAAACTTGCAGGATGCAGACAGAATGATAAATTAGCCACCTCGGGGGAATTCAGAATAACTTGGGGCTAGTTGTCAGAAGATGTGAGAGGGGTTATTTTTAAAAAAAAAAGAAAAAAAATCACTGATTGAATGGTTGGTTGATAGCCAGCATATATTTGAAGTTGTGCAACAGAAACCAAAATAAAAAAATTATATGAAACCTGAATGGCCATTCAGTTTGATAAATATTTACGCAGACTATCATTCAATAAATTGATAGAAATCCAAGTGCACGCATCAACTCTAAATAATAGGAATTGTATTCACTATCTGAATACAGACTGAAAGTTTACATTGATCATTTATAAGCTTCAGTAACGGAAAATTCAACAACTATATTTCGTTATTGAACACACTCAAGTGTGTAAAATGATGGATGGAGGAAAAAAAACATCATTTGGGCCGAGAAACATACAGCATATAAGTTAGAGACAAAAGTAGTGGATAATGATAAAGGTAACAAAATAATTTACCATGTCGGAGCGTAGTTGCGCAGTGTTAAGAAAAAATAAAGAAAGAAAGAGAGAAAAAAAACCTTTCAACTCTGGGGGAAAGCTAAAACTTAAATATGAGTAGCCTCAGTAAGGTCTGTTTAATAAGGTTCACATATTCTTAAGAAATAAATTTACAAAATGAGAAACTTTTACTGACATGTTTCACACTAGCGAGTGTTACAGAGAAAAATGTATGAGTGTCAAATATGTTTATACCGGCGTTTACTATTTTGGAGAAAGCATGAAGCTCTGGGAAGATCAGTGTTGATTCAGCAGCAGGAAAAAAAATTGAACCAAAGTAGCATTTACAATGATGCGAGGATAAATTTTGGAAAATTAAGACAAATTCCTTAACCAAGGAAAGTTAAAAGTTTAATTTGAATAACCTCCCGTTGGCCTGCTTACAAAACAGTCACATATTCTTAAGAAGTACATGTACAAATGAGAAACATTTACTAAAATGTATCACACTAGTGAGTGTTACAGAAAAATCTATGAGTTTCAAATGTGTTTAAACCGGCATTTACTATTTTGGAGAAAGCATGAAAGAAATCACAAACTTGTAGTCAGTACTAACTAGTCATGCTACCATAAATAATGTAGTTAAATTGCAGGTTTTCTTTAGACGTATGTATTTGCAGGGGGCAGGGGCTTTTTTTTTTCCCCTCACGACTGCCCCAGACACACAACAAGGCAATTAGCACTCCCCCCTCTGCATTGACCCGCTGCGGCGCAGCTGAGGAGCTTTACTTGCTTTTTTTAAAAAAAAAGAATAGTTTTCGAATTATGTTATACCGAAAGTAAGACGGACTTCTCACTGATGCTGCAGTTCTGATTCTCTCTGAAGCGTGTGTCGCTCACAGATAACTGAAGGTAATTACTCTTTAGACGAAGAGCGATAAACTGAGAAAAAAAAAAAACAACCAGATTTGGTCTGGTCTGCCCTCATGAACCAGCAGGGTTCATGAGGGCCTTGCTCTGAATTCCCCAGAGGTGGCTAATTTGTCATTCTGTATCGCTCTGAATTCCCACCCCCGAGGTGGCTAATTTATCATTCTGTCTGCATCCTGCAAGTTTGCAAGTATGCAACTAGTACATTCCTTCTCTCGCAGGCCCTGCGTGTCGCAGCTCAGACCCCCAGTTGTAGGCCTGGCTGAACACAGGCACAGAATCAGAAGCAACATCTCCGGCATCTATTTCAACTTCACTAGGCTTAGTATATAATTATATACATTTTACTTGGTTAAATAACTGTTGTTGGTGCTGTATTACTCTTAAAAAGAAAGTCAGATATACGGCATTTTCTGAATTCAGCAGAGAGAAAACAGAAAAACCTAACACACAGACCATATGTCACTGAGAACGACCCCCGAAGGGATTTCACAGGCCGTACCTATATTTGATCAAGCCCCCAGCTCAGACCCCAGTCGTAGGCCAGGCACAGAATCAGAAGTAACATCTCCATTCCAAATCTATTTAAACTTCAGTAGGCATAGTATATAATTATATACATTTTATCTTGATTAAATAACTGTTGTTGTATTGGTATTACTCTTTAAAAAAGAAAAAATCAATAGGAGGAGGAGGAGGAGGAGGGGGGGGGGCACGTCGTCACATTCGAAAGGGAGGGAGGGAGGGATGGAGGGTAAATAGAGGTCAAAGGGGCGTGGCACCTGTCAAAATGAGATTTGATGAAAGCATGCCCCTAATGTCTCTCTGACATTTGGTGCAAAACAATGCTTGAGAAGAGATAACCAGAAAACCGATTAGCTGTAATGTTCTTTTTATTTTTATTTCCAAACCGTTTGTCCAGCTGGGATGTCAGTTTGTCCACCTCGACAACGAACTACAGACGGAGCCACTGACTACGTGGGGAGTATAGCCACAAGCCTGCTGAATTGATTGATTGACAAATCAAATCATCTGCTGTGACTCCATCCATATGTGCACATCATGAAATCACCTGAGCCGATAGCTGTAACCTGACGTCACATTCCTCCCTCTTGAGCCACTGTGAATCCCAAGCCTTGACTTAAGTGGTTCGTTTTTGATACATTGTTGCAGCTGACAACATTGTTGCAGCTATCATCGGACAGAACTGGGATGAAGCTCCATCTGCTTTTACCTCTGTGGTATTTTCAAGCGCAGTAATGAAAGCATTTACATTTCAAACATAAATCCTTTCCACACTTACACCCATTCTTTTTAATAAACTACCATAAAGACGTGCTATACTGCACATATTTCGGTGTCAATCCAATACCAAGAACATACAGGGTATCGCTGATATGCTGATACCGATACTTTTCATTTAAGTTTGATCATCAAACTTCTGACCTTCAAGTGTTTTGGTGGTCTTTCTTTTGATTTATTTTGTTCAAATTCTTGAACAGAATTTGGACAAAGTGAAAAGGTGCCCACATACTTCATTATTTTTGATGTTTTTCCTAAATAAACAGAGTGGGGGGAGGGGGGAAAATAGCTCTTGAGAGCAAATCAAAAGAAAATTCTTCTTGAGGTTGAGTCGTGAAACTACAAAACAAACATTTCAAGAGGAAATTGCAGACAGTGACACTACTCCGGTGTGATATTATCAATATTTTGGGTTGATCCGATTCTGGCCACCAATAACGTATAATAGCTTCTTTTTTTTTTGACCAACTAAGAAGTGAGATTTCCTTGGAAATCACAATGTTTATTTACTGTACAGTACGTCATAATTCAGATGTAATTTGGTAAAACATAAATCTGTACCTCAGTTTCAGTGACGTCACCAACAACAGTTCGTGAGGTTCTAATTTGTGTTCGTGAACGCCTCCCTTTCTAATATGGCGGCGGCGTTGACGTAGTCACACATCCCGGTTGGGCGAAATGCGCATGCCTGAAGCGAATAAGCCTTTTCTATTTTTTTTATTCTGTGCGAAAGCGACAAATTTAAGTCGGACAAGTGTTTAATGATTAAGCTTTTATTGCGTTTTTTTTGCGTCAGTCGGAGATGTTTTACGAGATTAACGATTTATCCCCGAGGACGGGATTCAACCAGACAGGAAAGCGCAAGGTGTCGGGTTAACAGTGTTTTGCGGACTTATATATAGGCATACTCGGTTGCGTTTTCAGCCGGGATGTTCAGTGTGCTCCCCAGAGCGGCAGGCTCTGCCCTCAGGCAGACTCGGCTGCTGTTTGCCCGCACAGAGCCCCGCGCGTCGCCGCAGCTCCGCTGCGCAGCTTCTGCGACTCCCCGCTTGCTCGAAGACTGCCTCGGTGAGTGTTCAACAACAGCCGGTTCCTTCACGTCCACTTCCACAGTGAGCTCACGCTCTCGGGCCATGTGACGTCACCAGAGGTCAGCTACGAGGGGACGCAGTTGCGCTTCAACTACGTGTGGCTGCGGGACCACTGCCGCTCGGCGTCCTCTTACAACTCCGCCACCCACCAGAGGAGCCTGGACACCGGGAGCATAGAGCTCACCCTGCGCCCTGAGAGCTCCGCGGTGGACCACGGTCAGCTCGTCCTCACCTGTGAGTCAGCCGCGAAGCCCGAGTGAGGAGAAACACAGTGCGACCCCTTTAAGAAGGTTTTTTCTCATGCCTATCAAGTCCCGTACCCAGAAATCATCTATTTTAACACTGGAGTGCTTCACAGCACAGCAGAACAATTTACTGTCATTTAAAGCATATCTGCTGTTTTATAAAATAACAGCAGGATCAACTGGGGTTACGATTGGATTCTACGGGAAGACACGCTGGCACTTTAAAGTATAGCTACAGTATATGATGGTCTTTTCCCTTTGTCTCAATGAAGTGACAGACTATATAGATTTGCTTCATTGCTTCAAGAATCCTTTAGCTTTTTACAATTAAAAAAAATAAATAAAACTGTTGTTTTTCAGGTGTTGATTTTATTTATTTATTTATTTTTTTCAACAATAACTTGGATGCAAAACAGGCCCAAAAAATGTTGCGAAAGATGTGAACTAAGTCAAATTAGCTGCATGGTATTTCCTCGTTCTATAATAAAATGTTTCATCGGTAGGAGGTTGACAGGTCAAGAATGAATATATTTTAGATGGGCAAAAAAAATTTATTTTGCGTCTAGATTATCTGATACCTTATGGAGACGAACGGAAAATCTGGCCCTCATAACTGGCATCTCGGAAAGACATTTTTCTTCTTCTTCAGCCATTGAAACCTGTAATAAACAGCTTAATTGTGCAACGGATGACTTCGATCTAATTAAACCTTTATGTGCGAGTAGCATGTTTATTTTAATATCTAAACGAATAAAATGCAAAGTGATTACATTAGCCTGGTCATTACTCATTAACCGCTCACATTAGTAAATGTGTGGAGTTTGATTGTTCTCCCCGTGCCTCCTTTAATTGGTGTCTGATATAAATTGCCCCCTGGTTTGTTTGTCTTGTGTGTCTCTGTGGTTGATTTTTTTTTTAGGCCTTAACAGAGGTACATAAAACTGGCTTCACATGTAAGAACAGTAAGTATCAGCCGGTCACCGATCTCAATAAATGAAGGCAATCGGCATTGTTAAACCCTGGCCGACATAATTTTTATTTCCAGACTTTTACTTTTTTAAAACGCATGTCTAGACAAAAACATTCCCTGGAATCAACTGAAGACCAATAGTGTTAGTATGCGTCACAACTTGCATGAAGTGACAAATGAGGAGTTGGTATTCTTGAGACAGACAATGTTGATGTACGTGCTCTTGCAGAATAATGTGGCGCTTCACATTAGCTCAGCATGTTCAAGGTCACCTGCGTGTGTTGATTCACGAGCGCCGCTTCTGACACCTTCATTTCAGTACAAGCTCGATCTTCTAAACCCTTGTAGGTAGGCAGGGCTTGAGAAAAGGGACGATCACAAAAGAAAGTCCTTCAAATGCCAACCAAACAAGAAGCAAACTTCGGTTTAGTTCAGAATTGATTGTGATGTCGCTCTGCTTACAGGGCCGGATGGCCACGTGTCAAAGTTCAGCCTCAGTTGGTTGGCTGAGAACAGCTATGAAGGAAGGAAGACGGTCATGGAGCAGCCGCGCATCCTGTGGAACGCTAACATCTACCAAAACGCTAGCATATCAGCAGCCAAATGGGACAAGTTCATGAGCTGCGACAGCGAGTTGAAGGAGTTCCTTCAGAACTACCTCTGGTATGGAATCGCCTTCGTGGACGACGTTCCGGCGACAGTGGAAGCCACTGAGGAAGTCACCAGGAGAGTCAGTCTGATCAGGTAGCACTTTTTTTTTTGTTTCGTATTGTTTTTGTTTCTAGTGCAACTATATCCTTCATAGATTGCATCACCACGTGAGCAACATTACCTCACTACTTGATGTCTTTTTTTGTGTGATTCTTCAAAGAGAGACTACTTATGGGAGAATGTGGAGTTTTACATCCGATTTTTCCAGAGGCGACACTGCTTACAGTCAGCTGGCCCTGGACCGTCACACTGACACTTCTTACTTTCAGGAGCCATGTGGGTAGGTACAGTAGAATATGCCATACGTTTTCTAGCTTTCCCAGACTCTGGGAACTTTGTACGCAAGATTCTGACTCCTATCAGGTAGAGCCCTAGCCTCAGTGGGCCTTTATGTAGAATAAGCCGTTGTTTCATCACTAAGAAGTGTCGTTTTGGCCGCTGTTGCAGAATCCAGGTGTTTCATTGTCTCCGACACGAAGGTACTGGCGGGAAGACGCTGCTGGTGGATGGATTCTATGCTGCGGAGAAGCTCCGCCAGCGCTCCCCAGAGAACTTCGAGCTGCTGTGCCGCGTCCCCATCAGGCACGAGTACATTGAAAACACAAAAAATCACAGAAACCACATGATGGGCATTGGCCCCGTGCTCAACGTCTACCCTTGGAACAATGAACTCTACATGATCCGGTACGCTGATGTTGAAATTTGATTGATTTTGGGCCGTAGATATTGATCAGTAATGCTAACTGTTTGCTGTCCTAATGATTCCAGATATAACAACTATGACCGGTCAGTGATGAACACGATCCCCCACGACACCATCCGACGATGGTACGTAGCACATCGAGAGCTCACCACAGAGCTACGGCGGCCGGAGAACGAGCTGTGGGTGAAACTCACTCCAGGGAAAGTAAGAAAGTTTAATTAAGAATGTGAAAGCTGCGTGACTGAAGTTCGAAGCTTAAATGTAGCGTAAATATCCTCTTTCTCTTGTCCCCGAAGGTGATTTTCATTGACAACTGGAGGGTCCTACATGGGAGGAAATCTTTCACCGGCTTGAGGCAGCTTTGTGGGTGTTATCTGACCCAAGACGACGTCCTCAGTGCTGCACGCTGCTTCGGACTACGAGCCTAAACATACAGATTCTGTCATTTTAGTGCCTTAATCGTCTGCTTCTGACACAGATTTCATCACGTTGGATTCGGGAGTCCCTTCAGTCCAGGAAGATGTTCTGCATTGCTCATATACATTTTGTATACAGATTCAAACTGCGATTAAATAAAAAAAAACACTTTTGTGTCCTCTGAAGACAATAGACTGCTCTGAATTCTGTGTATCAGAGTAAATATGAAGTATAAAATTCTTCATATTTTTACTTCTGAAAGAATTTTATTAAACAAAAAGAAAACAAATAAAATGTGTTGTAGTAACATCAGAAAATGTGGAAAAGTTGAAAGGATATAAATATTTTATTCTTGATTGAGCAGCAGTGATTGACCTACAGCCTGACCCCTACTATAAATGCAGTGGGCATGCTACAGGGGCAAGCTTGACATTATTAAGTGGATCAGTATGTAATTTTACAGCAATCATGTTAGTGAAGTGATTTTCAATATTTCTTTAACAAATTAAAATTGTGAAACTGCAGCATGCATTTGTATTTAACTCTGGTTACCTGCAGAAATCACCAAATTAGTCATTTTATTAGTACTTTGGGTTCTCAATATGACTCCCGGATGATAGATATAAGTAGGTATCTAAAAGGAGTTGCAGGAATTTCAAGATGACGTAAACATTTCCTAACACGTAAAGTCTTCATGAAGGAGGATATTAAAGTCTCACATTTATCAGGGTCTGGGACATTAGTGTCGACTTCAGCATTAGTTGGATGGAAAAGTAGTAAACGTACTAAAAAGCTCATAGAAAATGAAGATGATGAGTTTCACCATATGAAGGGAAGTCTGAAATGGTCCGTCATTTAACCAGTGACGTCCTTCCAGTTGTCCTCAGTCTACCTTTTCCCTTTAGCAAGGTTGTAGTTGCTATAGAAACCCTTCCCAAAGAATCTGTGGCTCCCTCTAGTGGAAAAAGAAAGTCTTTACCTTTCACTTTTTGGGTTAAAATCTTAATAATGATAACATGACATAAGACATATATATCTATAGTCTGACCCTGTGCACACACTCTAAAGAAACAAGCGTGGCCGTGCCAGGAAAACAATGTTGCGTGTAAAGAATCTGTTGGCCAGTGGTAGTCACCAAACACAAAAGGCTGACCTTAGTCATTGTAATATAAATACACACACATACCATTCTAACCAGAGCTCTATGTACACTCACCCTGACTATTACTAGTCTGTTCATTTTGGACTTCTCTTCTTTTTTTTTTTTTTATAGGTGACAGTGTTATTCAACTATAATAAGCTTTAAAAACAACAAACTAATAACATTTCAATTAATTTTTTGGATTTTATCCAATTTGTTGTTGTTTTTTTCTTCAGCAACTTTCTGACATAATTCTGGTTGGAAATTTCGCTATAACTCTCAGCTAAATGAAATTGGATGATTCGTTTGAACTGGTTGGCCTGTACATGCTGAGCAACCTTTCAGCATGATGAATGCGTTTTCAGTTTCCACAGTTTAACTGTTGCTTTGAGCTGAGGGGGAGAGTTTGGAGGAGGCCGTATTTCTTTTTCGTTCCGTCCACTTTTGAAACGAGCCAGTGGAAATGGCAGACCTTCAAGCATGATACAACCACCACCATGCGTGACTATTGGTGCAGTGTTCTAAGGTTTGAAAGCCTCCATGCAGCTAGAATGTATATGTGGGCATCAGCTGTGCTTAATGTTCACCACATTCTACATCCTGGAGGGCAGGATTTAGACCGTGGGAGTTGCTGGGGTTGTCTGTTGACCATCCAAGCTGATATCTTTAAAACACTGAGAAATTTATTGTTGAACAGAAAAACGATCATAAAATGTGGTTTTAAAGTTGATAAAGTGGGCTGGCACCATATATTTATATACTTTTTTAATTCTTGACCTCATATAAAAGCTTTAAAGCCAGTGCTGTGCCAGAAAGCAGCCATTTTAAAGGAGCTTTTCTGCCAGCTGCTTTTTTATTGGCCACATAAGCTCATGCTGAAAATCAAACTCGCTATGAAACATGTCATCAAATAATACTTGCCGTGCAAATACATATTAGACATTTTGTTGTTGTTGAAGTTCAGTTGTGTGACCTACAATGGTTCAGGTTCAACACCCAAACAGTAATAAGCGTTGAATTTCTCTGGTAGACCGTAAGTCTAATGAAATGTAATGTAATGCAAAGGCTTAAAACATGAAGATTCAGAAATAATTGATCATTATCTGTGAATGTATTTTTCTTCTTCTTGTGTCCTTTTCACGTCAGGTGCCTTCGATACAGTGAGTGTCGGCCCCACACCTCACTGGCTGATTTTGGCCTGAGTGAACAAATCACAAAGCAGAGGTCTGTACAAAAAAAAAAAAAACACAAAAAAAAAAACAAATGTGTAAGGTTCCCCAGTTCAGTCTGTGTGAGCTGCTGAAATCTGTGAGGTTGGTTCAAACGCAAGATGTTTTCATCAAGCAAGCCCCTTATGAATGGTTAATTTATATGCATTTCATGGGTAAATCAGTCATTATTAGTCTCAAAATGTAACCTTACAACCCTGCCAGTGAACTGAAAGCAACTGTAGACTCCCACCTAAATGTTCATTGAAATCTATCTCATTTTTTACCTGCTATTCCTGTTCAGATGGCACATCGATGATTTTGCCAGAAATGGACATCCACATTTGTTATTCACGATGTGCCGCTCATTATCTGACACATCATCATGATTGCATGCAAGAGTAAGTGGGTGAAACCATGTAAATCAGCACTGTGCATATTTACAGCGTTGCACGCTTGAACTGGCCCCCTCCGAACGGGCCGTCGCTCGGCGTCGTTTACATGCAGCAGAAATGGATATGTATTCCGTGCGCGGTCCAAAGATGCAGTCACAGTCTTCTTCTAATTTCCACTGACAATGAGGAGACTGCTGTGGTATCCATGGAAACTACAGAGGACACGGAGGCCTGCCCACCAAGTTGTCCTGGTAACTGGGTGAATGAGACGACTCCGGCTGAATGCAAAATCCCCGTGTTCAGGGCCAGCAGTTTTGATAAGTTTGGTAACGTGACAAACACAGTAAGGAGAATACAAAACGGCTGAAACCATTGTGTTAATGTGCGTGTTTATGCATTTCAAAAACAGCTGAATCATCAGCAAATGGTTTACGAGCCGTTGTCTGCAGCCATTCTCTGAATGAATGTGGTCCAGTAGCAAAAACCACATGTGACTGTGTATGACATTGACTGGCAAAACTGCAAATGAACCAAATTCAATTTTTCAGCATGTTTATTATATTCCATCGTTGTTTTTAAATCACTTAGCTTCTTGCAAGCCGAGAAGTGTACAAAGGGCAACGGGACATCGATGAAACACAAAGCGCAGACAAACAAAAAATAATAATAAAAGCTTGGCTTGTTGGGTTTCGCTCATCAAGGACGTTGGCCATGATATTGGTCTGTGGTCGTCCAATCAGAAGAAGATCTGATGGATGTAGTCTCCATCATCACCCGCTTAAATGTTCCTTTTTAAAGTGACCCGCAAAATGTTCCAGCTGCAGTCTGGGCAGTGCAGTGTCAATCTTTTCTGAGAAATAGCAATGGATCCAGGAATGACTGAGTTTCTTTGGACAAGTCTCATAATTTCTGGCTAGTTAGCAAATTGTATGCCTTTAAAAAAAAACTATTGCAGGGCATTGAAAACTGGAATTGTTGCAGGCACGGATAAGGAAGGACTACGTCACGAATTTACTTTGTATTTTAGATAAACTTTCTCGTCGAACAGTGCACTTTTGCTCAAAATACACACATTATGAGTTTTTGTAACAGAATCACGTAGGGATGAAAGACTATAAATTCTTTAAAAAGGGATGAGGAGGATAAGTGGGATGAAATGAAGCAGGAAAATTGAGTGGCATAAGAATGGGTCATGAACACAGATGAGGATGAGGGAAGAAGGAAACTTGTAAAGAGACGTGGAGGAAATAAGGGGGGATGAAAAGGAGCCGTTAAAAGTTGTAACACGGATGGGTGGAGTGAGAAAGTATAAGGAGAGATGATGAGATGAAAATGTCAATAAAGACAAGTTGGGAATTTGGGTGGATTGAAAGTAGGAGATAAAGAAAACCAATTCCAGAGTCGCTAAACTATAAAACGTCATATCATCATAACGCTTCTGCAGCGAGTTAATGTTTTCTAAAAGTAGAAGCAACTTCTACTTAACCATCTTCCTGCCTTCCCAGTGAACTTAGCAGAGGATTTTCTTTTAAAAAGTGGCATTTCCCGTTTGCCTCGTCCCGTATCCACCTTTCTTGAAAAACAACAACATTGAGTACTTTTTTTATTTTTTATTTCTTTTTAATAATTTCCCTTTTTCAGTGTCTGCCTGTACTCCGACAGAGGGGGAGAGACGGTGAATCATTCATGATTAATTGTCTGTAATTACCAGAAGCTGACAAAAGTGATTAAGGATGCGAAGAATGTTGATCAGGGGTGACTGGAAGGGCGAGGGAGGAGAAGAGGGAGGTGACAGGACCGTGTAGTAAAGGGGAGGGAAGTGTGTGGAGCTCATTATCCGGAAGACACTTGCAGGTTGGGAAGAGAAGACGACCTCGGTGTCTTCAGACTCTGATCAAAACAACATGTCTTGGCAGCTGTGTGTTTGGGTACACAGATGTGACAGAGGACGGTGGTGGTGTGTGTGTGTGGGGCGGGGCTCTACAAATGAACGTAACAGCGTCACTCATGACCAGCCGGTGACAGTTCAGGAGGTTTTGCCCGCAAACCACATTCGGGGTGAAGATGCTTATTTAAAAGCAATACTTTTGTTCTTTTACTCCAGTATAAACTGAGATGAAAAAATAGATTATTCATCCTCCAGACAATTCAAGAGAAATGACTCAAGCTGTGTAGAAAATGTACGTTTGGAACGCATCTTTCATGGCTGCACTTTGAAAATTACAAGCTTCATTGCGGTGTGTGTCTTGGTTTCCTATTTTTGTGCGACCTTTTTTATATTTAGCTCTTGCTATTAAGAAATGAGGGCTAACACACAACTGATTGGCCTCTCAGTAAAAACTGAACCATTTTTTATTAGCTGAATGAAATCACTGTGTGTATAAATATATATATGTATAAAAAACCCCCACCATATTAAAGCCAACTTTAAAATTTTCTTTCTTAC